TCGCACACACACAGACGAACAAAACCCAGCACACTGCGGTAATCTCGAGATGCCACATACAGAAGGGGGAAACGAGAAACCTGCATCTGAACGAGATTGCCCTAAGACTCATCCCGCATCTGTCACGGGGAGGAAGTGCACAAATAGGTTGAAATAGCCAACTAAACGAGAAACCTGCATCTGAACGAGATTGCTCTAAGGCTCATCCCGCGTCTGTCATGGGGAGGGAGTGTGCGCAAATAGGTTGAAATAGCCAACTGCAATCAGACTCGTCTTATTCACACTTTTCATGTATGTAAACAGCAGCACAGCACACCTGCGACATGCGCCCACTCAGAACTCAGAGATATGGCTTCCAGATACGAGTTCACTTTCAACTGGCTATGGCGACTTAGCGCCCAAGCAACTCACTGTTCACACACTGGATCACCCTGGATATCCCACACACGTCACTCTGCACACTCACACATGCACACACACTCTTCCCACTAACTACAGCTATGGCAGCTATGGCTGCCTCTAACCTATCGCTATGCTAACTCCTCCTCTCTCGCCCACTGCGTCCTCCGGGCTCAGTGCAGACCTCCTTGCACAAGTCGCTGTGGCAGCGCTTCTGCATGGCTCACTCAGGAATGAAACCCATGGCTGGGCACTGCCTCTTGATTTATACTTCTGTAGGTCGTTGGTCTGGCCCATTTCCCTTGCCCGAAGTGCACACAGTCCCGTGTGGTACTTGCTGGACTGACTGGGGACTGGGACTGTTGACTCAGCAGGGTAGACTTCTACCACTTGCCCACTTGCCTCACCACTTGACCACTTGCCTCTGCTTAAACGTGGGCAACTCCGAAAGGCCACTACTGGGACCTTCCCGAAGGCCATAGACTTGGCCTTTCGTGACTGTAGCAGCTACGACTCTGACCCTTCTGGACTGTAGCAGCTACAACCTTGACCTTTCGGGCACACTACAGCTACGATGTCTAGACCTGACTAAGACTCCTATCCGACAGGTCGACAGATCGAACCCATGCTACCTAGGGACCCTACGACAACCTATCAGCTGTTACAAATACACAGGTTGCGAGTTCAACTCTACGGGCCGACACAGGTACTGTACACAGGTAAGGTTGGGGTCTAGGGATCGAACCCTGGGATCTGCAGCAGCTACTGCTAACTGGTGAATACCGTTTCACAACAATCTTCTTCCCTAAAAAAAAAAAAGGAAAAAAGTGGGAAATGAGAAAACAGCATCTGAACGTGATTGCGCTCAGATTCATATGATGCGGTGCAGAAGTGAAGCCAAATACATTATTCCAGGAAAAAAAAAGGAAAAAAAAAGGAAAAAAAAAAGGAGAAAAAAAAGCAATGATCTCTCTTTATTTTATTTTATTTTCAAGTCCGTGTTCTTTTTTTGTTTTCTTTTCCGTCTTTCCTACCACTGCCCGCGTGTTTCCACATTGTATACCACAAGGACATCTTGCAGTCCTTGTGGGAGGTTCCCATGGGGCCACCAGCTTCCTGCCCCGTTGCCATGCCAAGCCTCTCCCGAACCCTCTAAAGTTTCGAAAAAACGAGACTGAACCTGCCCCTAATCACGTGGTCAGATACACCCCCATTTTTTTGCCTATGGCCCAGTTGGACAGAACCTAAGAGATGGGTGTGTGGGGGCAGGCAATAGGAAGACATGGTACAGTCATGTTTTTTTTTGAGTGTATAGTGAATAAGACAACACAGACACACACCCCGA